GATCATCCTTGAGTACTATCAGTGAAGGCATATTTCAGCTTCAGGATCTACCCATTGGAGGACTTAAAGGTAAATTCAAGGGATCGAAAGGTGCACTTGAAAGGCTTCGGGAACTTCGGTTCAGGGAACTTCGGTTCAGGCAAAGGAAAAGGTTAAGGTAAAGGCACAGGAAAAGGTAAAGGAAAAGGCAAGGGAGGTACCCACATGAACTTTCACAACTTAGCAATGGCTAAGGGCAAAGGTAAGAATAAAGGCGGGCAGTGTGCACAGTCGGGGCACGTGTGTGTTGGACTTGTGGCAAAGCCGGACATGCGTCAGCGAACTGTCCTTCGGGATGTGTGAACGCACTTGAGGAATCTTCAGCGCCTGCTGGTGCAGAGGCGGCTTCGTAGCCTGCTGCCACTTCGCAAGCCGTTGATGTTGCCGCTCCTTCGTCGACTTCGGTGCCTGGCACCCACAGAGCTGAAGACTCCTTTGAGCGCGGTGACTTTGGAGCCTAAAGCCAAGGCCAAGGCCAAGGCAACTTCGAAGCTTCCCCGAAGCCCTCTGGACTTGTGATTGCTGCGTTGACGCTCGGGAGTGTCAGGTTTCTGCTCCTGTTGAGTTGCAGCTTGATGGCATGCTTGACGGATTTGTGACCTTCCATGACTTCGGTGTTGGTGGTTGTTGTTCGGACTTGCGCGCTTCCGCGTGTGCTGGTATGTCGCCTGTTGTGTTTCACTTGGACGAGGATGGAGATGACTTGGCAGCTGAAGCCAAGCAGTATCACTTGAAGACCTTGAAGGACTTTGGACTTCATGGTTCGGAGACGTCGTTTTACGACCCTTACTTGGCAGAGCAGCCGGTTGCTTCGGTTGAGTCCAATGTCGAAGTCGAAGACACTTGGATACTTTTCGATTTGGGTGCTGCGGCGAACGGTTGTCCTCCGGACTTTGCTCCTGGCTATCCCTTGTTGCCACTTGGCAGGAAGGTACCATCCTTCAAGAGCGACCTATGGTGGGAAACTTGTTGCATGTGAGATTGATGGTCAAAGGTTGTACACTGCTGCACTTGTGATGTTCCGTACAGTGTGGTTTCCGTTTCTAGACTTTTGCAACAAGGTCGTACTGTGAACGTGGGAGTGGATCAGCCAAGGTTGCTCGGTCCCGAGTGTCAGTCCATGACAGAAATTTCGGCATGGTTTCCAAGGATTGACGACTTTGATAGGCACGAGTTCTCGAACTGTAGTCATGCTTTCCATGGTCCCACAGTTCTAGCCAGTTGGGGTTGAACCTAGTAAGTGTTCCCATGCCCGCCAAGTGGGGTCGCCAAGAGCGAAAGCAAGGCCGATGCAAAGCCCATTTGAGGGTCTTTACTTGGTAAGATGATGACCTGAGGCATGACCCTCAACTCAGTCCAGCAATCCCAGCCGGAGGACCACCCCACCCCCAGCCTCCCAAGCTCAGAGAAACTGAGCCCAGAGTGTTACTTTTTGCTACAACGGTTTCTTGGGGTCGGCCAGCTTGAGAGGGGAGAGCTCAAGACCACGGCGCAGCGCAAAGGGCCACCCCCAAAGCTTCCGCTGCGGCAAGGGCTTTCCTCAGAAGGCGGGGCTCCCTCGTAAAGAAGCCGAGCACGATTTCGTGTTGATTCAAGTCTAACATGGTATTTGATGCAATTCCACAAGAGCCAAACCTGGATCCTCAGCCCTAACTTGAGAGCATGGAGCTAGAGTTACGCGTGGCTTGTTGTCGCTCCACTTTGTTTTCGTAGTGCTAACTTGCGCCAGTACGACTTCGGCCCATGGCAAACATGATCCTAAAAGCGTTGCAAGTCCGGACCAACTTCTACTGTTGTTCATCTGTTGCTGCTGCCGCTGCCGCTGCTGCCGCCGCCGCCGCTGCTGCTAAGTGTCGCTGAAAGGGCACACAGTGGCCAAAACAGAGTTTTTATCACGGTTTCGCTGGACAATGTTTCACCGCTGTCGCGGTCGAAGATGACCATCCAGCAGTGAGAATGTAATCGCTCCCACTGTTGTTCTTCTGTTGCTGTTGCCACTGCTGCTGCCACTCCTGCTGGAACTTGTCAATTCTCGGTAAAGAAGCCCAAACGTATAGGCTACCCGTAGCCCTAGCTGTAGGGCCTACGGCTGGCTACGCGTAGGCCTGTCGGTAGGGTCTGCGGCAGCCTACGCGTAGGCCTATCCGTAGGCCCTCGTGTGGCCTACCCATAGACGTATCAAAGGGCCACGGGCAGCCTACGCGTAGGCCTACCCGTAGGCCTGCGGGTAGGCTGCCGGTAGGCCTATCCGTAGGCCTACGGGTAGGCTACCGGCAGGCCTACCCGTAGGCCTATGGGTAGGCTACCGGTAGGCCTGCCCATGGGCGTGTAGGTATGCTACCGGTAGGCCTGGTCGCAGGCCTATAAGTAAGCTATCTATAGCCCGCAGGCCTACGGGTAGGCTACCGGTAGGCCTAGGCGACCGGCAGCCCTACCCGCAGGCTTATACGTAGTCGAGGCATAGTAGTAGTGATGATCTCGGGGCTGGGGCTCGGGCACAAAAAGGAGGGCCTAAGAGTCCATGCGTGCGTGATTTCTTTTGCGGCTGCACATGATGTCTCGGGTTGAGAATTTAGGGAACAGTTTGACGGGTGTTTTCGTCGTTTCTCGAGTCCTGGGGTTCGGTCCAGGGCGTACGCCCGAGGCCCTGGACCGAGCCCCAGCCCCGAGATCAAACTTTTTGTGCCCGAGCCCCAGCCCCGAGATCATCGCTACTACTATGCCTCGACTACGTATAAGCCTGCGGGTAGGGCTGCCGGTCGCCTAGGCCTACCGGTAGCCTACCCGTAGGCCTGCGGGCTATAGATAGCTTACTTATAGGCCTGCGACCAGGCCTACCGGCAGCATAGGCAGGCCTACCGGTAGCCTACCCATAGGCCTACGGGTAGGCCTGCCGGTAGCCTACCCGTAGGCCTACGGATAGGCCTACCGGCAGCCTACCCGCAGGCCTACGGGTAGGCCTACGCGTAGGCTATCCACATCCCTACTCAATAGGCGACTGGTAGGCCTACAGGGAGGCCTACCAGTAGCCCACTCGCAGGCCTACGGATAGGCCTATAGGTAGCCTCGCACAGCCTCTACGTAGGCCTGTACATAGGCTACCCGTAGGCCTAGGGTAGACCTACCCATAGGTCCGACGTAGCCTTAGTTTCGGGCTTCTGTATGCAATTCTCACGGCAAAAACGCGCGATCGACAAAAGCACCCACAACCGTTGGGCATGCTGCCTAAGCCGCTGTGGGGCGACGAGGCACACGGCGAGGAAGCAAACCCATGCGATGGGCTGCCGTGGTTCTCGTGGCCTGCCCATCTGCGGTGGCCACCACAATATCACCGGACAATGCTTCAAGGGAATTCCATAGGTGGGGGGGGGCTGGACTCCCTCCTCCTCCTTCAGGGGGGGCAAGGGGGGCTATTGATACATCATTTTCTAAGGAAATCCGCGAAAATCTGAGCCAGAATGCCTTTTGACACCATCTGACCCACACCCAGAGATGGTAAACTCCAGCTACCGCCAGGCTTCAAGGAGCTAACTTTCGTGATTAGTCCCTGGACCCAGAACCCTAGACCCGAGACCTTAGACTCCAGACCCGACTTGTCACCCTACTAGCCCCTATACACCCCCACACTCACGACCCTAGTGCAGCATGAGCACACGCTTCCGCACCTTCACGTTGCGAACACAGATCCTGTGCTCGTCTGAGCTCGCCATGATCGAGAAGCAGCGCCGCTTCTATCAAAGCTCTTCTACGGAAAGACGTCGTGGCCGTCCTACTGCGCTCTATACACGCCCGCCCTAGCCTAAGATCCGCTAACATGACAGTGTGCACATGCCTTACTTAGGAAACTTGAACACACGCTTTGCTCCTGTTGAGACACGGCAAAGAAGCATACGGACGTTCCTGCGCACAAATAGAGAAGTGCTCTGTTGCATGAGTCCGAAGTAGAATCAAGCTGGTCAAAAGTGGCTGCGCAGGAACAAGGCGACTGTGGCAAGTTGCACAAGCACTTCAAAAGCCTTTCGCGTGACGCGTACGTGGTAGAGCTGGCGCATGTGAAAAAGCTGTAGCGGAAGCAACGAGCACACGAGGTAGGATGAAAAAGTACCAAAATGGGAAAGACCAATCTCCTTAGTTTCATCACAGTGGAACTAAAGCGCTGACCCTGCTGACGTCACAGGAAAAATACAACAGGAGGGATGCGAATCAGAGCCGAGAAGACCAGAGAAGAGAAGAGGCTCTGCTCTGGAGCGTCGTTGCAGGGATGACAGCGTCAGGATTTACAAAACCGAAAGCGACTGGGCGGAAGTACTGCTGTCTCTCTCTCTCTCTCCCATCTCGTCTCTCGTCTCTCCTGCGCTTCGAAAGTAAACCTCATACTGTCATCGCTCCAAACCGTGTCATTACCTCTGGCCTGGGTTGGGGGAATGATTCGCCTCAGCCTCCGAGTAGGGCCTCTGAAGCTCGGAGACCAGGATCTGAACTCCTTCCCTCCCCACACAAAAATCAGCTGTTCCACCCCCCCCCCCGCTCCCTGGAAAGATGTCCGGAGACCGGCGAGGGGCCCTTGCCATCTACGTGATGGCTGCCGCGGTGCCACCCCCCGTCCCTTCCCCCCCCCCCATACGGCTTTTTTCAGTATTTTTTTGCGAGGTACACGGCGCAATTTAAGGGCATAATTAGCGGGGGAAGCTCCCTCGCTGCGTGTTTTGCAGCGAATGCCTTGCCAAACAGCCGAGGCGGACGCGCGCAAGCACTTGTAGTTGTGAGTCATGCTGCTAGAAACCTCAACATAGCAGCAGACTTCAAGTTCGCGAAAGACCTGATGCAGTTTCTCCTGCATGACTTTCAGCCCCAGCAAAACATACTGACCATACCTTGTAGACCGCGCATGCGCTTTTGAATCAACAAGCTTTCCTTCATCTGTTGCAGGACCCTGCTTATGGTTTGCATGTAAGAGCAGTATGCAGCATGCATCTGCGCTCGCTCCTTTTTTTGGTGAGGTCGGCGCAGAAGGCGCGACGAAGAGCAGGGCAGGCCCGCAACTCGGAATCCATCAAGCAAGCAAGTCGAAGCAAAGTGGGCGCCTCGGGCTGAGAAACTGTGCTCCTAAAACCGGAGTGTCGAACGGAAGCCACAGCCCAGCTTCACTGCTTCAGGTATCCTGGGCTCGGGATTCTTACGTCGGAGCCATGAGGCTGAACACGCAGTTGCAGACCAGAGAGGGCACCGCAGCTCTGAAGGAGAACGAAGCTTTTCCTCACCACTCCGCTGGATTTTGGCTGGCTGTGCGCTGCCAAGGGCGCATCCAGCGGAGCACCCGACCAGCAGGCTCCCACTCGCACATCTACCCGGAACGAAGTCCCGAGCTCTGAGGCTCTATGAGGTTGGCTAAAACAGTCATTAAAAACAGCGATGAGCCCTGGGCCCAGCTTCGCCATGCATGGCCTGCAGGGAAAGGCTTAAGGGTCGAAACCTTGGCTCAAGCGGCTCAAGGCTGGCTGAAACCCAAAGCTCTCCCGAAATTTCCCAACCACCAGCCCCATGAACAATGCAGGAACAGGTCCACAGCCTGCAGCAGCTCTGAGTCGTTGGGTGCAGCTGGACAGCGGTTGCAGGGCCTGCGGCTGTCTGGCAATGGCAAAGACGGGAGGGGAGCCTGTCACGGTGATCTGAGGTTGAGGCTTAGGTCGCCTTCCGCTGGAACTGCGGCTTGAAGCCCGAAGAGCCCTTGCAATCGGTGGTTCGTCCGCCTGCGTGAGCAACAACGCCTCGGCGCGAAGCCAAATGCGCCGATCAAGCAACGACTATGTTTTGTTCCGAGCTGCTCGTGGTCGGTTCTTTGCCAGCAACGAGCCACCAAGATGCGGCGTTTGTTTCATGTTCTGAAGTTCTGCCAGGGTCAAAAGAGGGGCATGAACAAGCGAAGAGTCTGCACGCATGTGCAGGATTCGCCAGCAAAACCTGGATAAGTGAGACCAGAGCGGTAGACGGCTGCCTGCAAGCCACCAAGACAATGGTTCAATGCTGAGACGATTCAGCTCAAGCCAGCTTTGAGCGTGAAGTCCTGAATCTGGGCTCAGACGTTTTTGGGGGGCCAAACAGTTTGCGAGATGAGTGCAGGCATCAAGATGACAGCCTGAGACATCTTCTACGTGCAGGTGCGTGTGCTACCCTCACACTTGGCCTAAAGACTCAGGGAAACGAGGGCTACCCTCGAAAGCCAAGCACAGCAGCTGGAGCAGATTTTGCTGAGCAGCGCAGACAGGTCCTACTTGCAGCCTCAGCAACTTTCAACGGGAACGCGAAACGATGGCTTCCCAAAGGGTCGTGAAGGGTTTAGGGTTTAATTAGGGTTTAAAGTTTAGGGTTCAGGGCTCAGGCGGTTTAGAGGTCTCCGGATTCCTGTGCAGAGCAGGGGACACAGCTATCTAAACCTGTACCTGTCAGCACCCCGGTGGAGAACACTGCAACTTCTCACACGCGAACGACTCGCAAAGACATCAAAGCCAACTGTTCTTGACCTCAACTCACGCGGCGGCTTCTCAAAATGATGGTCCCTTTTGGGGCACAGTCAATACTCAAGGGCCGTGCTGCAACAAGCTACCTGACAAGGGGTCCATGATTTTCCCATCCCGGCCTCCGGGAATCCCACATAAGGATGGGGCTTCTGCGGATAAAAAATCGCTCTGAAGGTGTTCTGGAAATCACGGATGGGGCGGGAGGGGGGCGTTCTTGGGTGCGGTAATCTCCAACCGGAGCATCTTGCAGAGCCACGAGCTCGAGGCTTCAAAGCTTCAAAGCTTCAAAGCTTCAAAAGCTCGACGCCGTTTCACCCTCGACTCTCAGCACCCCGGTGGAGAACACTGCAACTTCTCACACGCGAACGACTCGCAAAGTCATCAAAGCCAACTGTTCTTGACCTCAACTCACGCGGCGGCTTCTCAAAATGCTGGTCCCTTTTTGGGGCACAGTAAATATTCAAGGGGCGTGCTGCAACAAGCTACCTAACAAGGGGTCCATGATTGAGCCATGAAGGTGTTTTGGAAATCACGGATGGGGCGGGAGGGGGGCATTCTTGGAGTGGGTGCAGTCATCTCCAACCGGAGCATCTTGCAGAGCCACGAGCTCGAGGCTTCAAAGCTTCAAAAGCTCGAAGCCTTTTCATCCTCGAGGCGCTTTGAAAAGGTGCCCCCTCCCCCCCCCCCCAGATGTTTAATGAGTGTAATGGTTGTGAGCTGCCCGTGCCAGGGGGCCTCAGGCTCGGACTGGGATGCTAGACTGGCGCTTAGTCACTTCGAGATCTCGCGTCAGAAGCCTTGCAGCCATGCCATGCGGTCCTTGACAGTGTCTCCGTGTGTCCACACCGGCTGTGAGCGACTTGGACGCAAGGAGACAAAGCCAAGATGCGGCGAAGGCGATTCTGTTGCACAGGAGCCGTGCACGTTGATGTGGCAGCCTGAGCAAAGCGCGGAGGGCACGGCCGCCAAGGCGAGCCCACGGCAAATTCGATTTCCTTAGGGCGGGGGATGAAACAACCCACTCTGGTTTTAGGCTACACAGATCTGGTGAGTGCGCCTGGCAGCCCCACTCGAGCGTAGTGGAAATCGTCTTGACATTTCACACCTTGACAACCCATCTTCCGTGAAGAGTCTGGGCACGGTGAGCTGACGGAAACCACTGGGCGGTTCGCAACGAAAACAGGAACATCTCAATGACAGAACCCACCCGCAGTCTCGCATGTGGAACTACTTCGGAACCTCGCCCTCATCATCGGAGGGAGTGTCGACTTCCTGCAAGTCACGGGCCTGTGCCCAGGGCGCCAAGCCTCACCTTGGTGCTGAAGCAGTATGTACTGTTGTTATTCTCAGCATCAGAAGCATTCTTGTTATGACTACTATTACGAAGGCGCAGACCTCTTAGAGCAGGATGCATGTTAGCATCTTTTTGCTGCGGACCCTGCTGGGCAAGCGAGCGCCTGCAATGAGACCTCAGGTCTTGCGCCCATCGCTGCTTTGACTGGGTAGCAGCGGCAACAAGACTTGAGGACCTAACCGCACTGACGCCTCACGAGCACAGGCAGCGCATGCCCAAAGAAAATCAAGGGCCTCAGACTTAAGCAGTTCCAGTCTCCGAGGTGCACATGTCTAGCTACCTAGTTCGGCCGAGCAGGGTGGCATCTCCCACAGCCCTGCGCCGGACCACGAAACCTTCCCTGAACCTTCGAACTCCCACATAAAGGCCCAAAACCTGCACCCAAAACATCCCTAAACCCAGTCTTTGCCAGGCCCTGCCAACCTCATGTTTCCTGATGACCGCACCACACTCTGTGCGAGGATGCAGGGTCGATTTCTGACGAATAAGTGGAGACAAAAGCCTAAATGAGCCTCTCGAGAAGCTGTGGCTGACGGGGAATTTTGCCCTAGGGGCACTACTCTGAAGTTGCTGCCACTTAGGAGATTCCACTTAGGAGCTTCTCAAAAGGGGGTGCCCCCTGAGGACTGCAAGGGGTACACAGGGATGATGCTTCTGTCACTATCAACCCAGCCGTCCAGGAGAGTTGCCATCATGCTGGACCAAGTAGGACGGACTCTCCATGATGATCAATCTGCGCTGCCACTGGGGCTTGGGTAAAGCCTAACCTGCATTGCCTGCATTGCCTGCATTGATGTCCAAAGGCAGGGGATGGCTGAAGAAAAGCTTCAGAAGACTTCGGGTTGCACATGTTCAGCGATCCTGGTCTGCCGGAGGAGGGTGGCGTCTGTAGAAGAAGAGATCAGCAGCCACGCAGCGGACGTCAGGAATGCATCTGGGGGCTTGCCAAGATTAGGGGTACTCGTTTGGGGATCCTACTGCATTGGGGTCTTCCTTGGGTCCCCCTAATTCTGGAACCCCACCCCATCTGGCGCATGCATGGCAGCGGCACCATAGCAGTCGTCGACACTGCCGTCGTGCAGCGCCGCATCTCGGCACAAGTATGTACCGGAAGCCCAGCAGCAGGCGCGACTTTCACTTTCCAGCCGCATGTCTGCAGAATCAAATCACACAGCTACGGTCGCCAGGATTGCACAGCAGCGTGTGGCAAGGCAGGAACCTCGGTCAACATCAGCGCTGTGGCGAAGTGGCTTGACGCGTGGCTGAGGCAGTGCTGTGCTGCAGCGCCGGCAGCGTGCTGAGTTTCTCAATGTACCGTGTTGCTCAATGCGCCGCAAAGCCCCGCAGCACTGATCTCGCTTGGCCTGCCCAGCTGAAGGCAAACAATCAACATTACACTACGTGCCTGTGGTGGGTGCCTGCGCTGGTCTGGCAACCCCCTGGAGGGGCAGCATGGGCCGAAGTAGACCTCAAGTGCTCGGCAGCAAGCTGGACTGCATTTCCTGTCCGGCCTGGTACAGTCTCATGGGATATTCACAGAACTATTTCCACATGCACGGGCAATCTTTTGCTTGCTGCAGTTCAGACTGTGGCTGCGTGTTCGAACCAGCGGACTGTCTACCTCTGGAAAAATCGGGCAGGAGATCTGCAGGCTGAGCAACCCAAGCACTTGGCAATGCAACATCACTGGCTTACGTGCAGCAACGCTGCAAGTCACGAAGCGGCGCCTTGGGACGAAGCCAGGCGTGGCGGCCAAAGACAGCGTCGCTCGACGCTACGTGCCTCATGCAAGGCTGTCATAATCTTGCCTGCGACAGTTGCTGTAAACCTAGACTGACAAAGGACCGTGATACTTGCAACAGCTGGCAGCAGCGGACGTCAGGAATGCAGCTGGCGCATGCATGGCAGCTGCACAATAGCAGTCGTCGACACTGCCGTCGTGCAGCGCCGCATCTCGGCACAAGTATGTACCGGAAGCCCAGCAGCAGGCGCGACTTTCACTTTCCAGCCGCATGTCTGCAGAATCAAATCACACAGCTACGGTCGCCAGGATTGCACAGCAGCGTGTGGCAAGGCAGGAACCTCGGTCAACATCAGCGCTGTGGCGAAGTGGCTTGACGCGTGGCTGAGGCAGTGCTGTGCCGCAGCGCCGGCAGCGTGCTGAGTTTCTCAATGTACCGTGTTGCTCAATGCGCCGCAAAGCCCCGCAGCACTGATCTCGCTTGGCCTGGCCAGCTGTTGGCAAACAATCAACATTACGCTACGTGCCTGTGCTGGTCTGGCAACCCTCTGGAGGGGCAGCATGGGCCGAAGTAGACTTCAAGTGGAAGGCAGTAAGCTGGACTTGATTTCCTGCCCAGCTTTATACAGTCTCATGGGATCTATACGGAACCATCTTCGCGTTCGCAGAGCACTCATCTTTTGCTTACAGTCCTTCAGACAGTGGCCACGTCAGTGCTTGGTCGAAACACGCTGCTGCTGGCTTCAAGCGCTGTTCCACGCGGAACATCAATGCCGTCCTCCGTTGCTTTCCAGCTTGTCTAATCTCTTGCGAAATATGCTCGCATTCACAAGGTAGTATTTCGAATATGTTGACGGTCGTGCAGACTGCGGCTACGTTTGCACGTGGGGCAGCCTTCCTCTGCAAACATATCATCGGGCAGGAGATGTGCAGGTTAAGACTCCCAAGCACTGGGGTAGTAAAGCATCACTGGCTTGATACGGAAGTTTGTGAACGAACGAACCACTGTCATGTGGAGACCTTGATCTCAAACAAACACTGCAAGGCACGAAGCGGCTGCGTGTTCGAACCAGCGGACTGTCTACCTCTGGAAACATAGGGCAGGAGATCTGCAGGCTGAGCAACCCAAGCACTTGGCAATGCAACATCACTGGCTTACGTGCAGCAACGCTGCAAGTCACGAAGCGGCGCCTTGGACAAAGCCAGGCGTGGTGGCCAAAGACAGCGTCGCTCGACGCTACATGCCTCATGCAAGGCTGTCATAATCTTGCATGCAACAGCTGCTGTAAACCTAGACTGACAAAGGACCGTGATACTTGCAACAGCTGGCAGCAGCGGACGTCAGGAATGCAGCTGGCGCATGCATGGCAGCTGCACAATAGCAGTCGTCGACACTGCCGTCGTGCAGCGCCGCATCTCGGCACAAGTATGTACCGGAAGCCCAGCAGCAGGCGCGACTTTCACTTTCCAGCCGCATGTCTGCAGAATCAAATCACACAGCTACGGTCGCCAGGATTGCACAGCAGCGTGTGGCAAGGCAGGAACCTCGGTCAACATCAGCGCTGTGGCGAAGTGGCGTGACGCGTGGCTGAGGCAGTGCGCTGTGCTGCAGCGCCGGCAGTGTGCTGAGTTTCTCAATGTACCGTGTTGCTCAATGCGCCGCAAAGCCCCGCAGCACTGATCTCGCTTGGCCTGGCCAGCTGTTGGCAAACAATCAACATTACGCTACGTGCCTGTGCTGGTCTGGCAACCCTCTGGAGGGGCAGCATGGGCCGAAGTAGACCTCAAGTGCTCGGCAGCAAGCTGGACTGCATCTCCTGTCCGGCCTGGTACAGTCTCATGGGATATTCACAGAACTATTTCCACATGCACGGGCAATCTTTTGCTTACTACAGTTCAGACTGTGGGCTGCGTTTTCGAACCAAGAAAACATAGGGCAGGAGATCTGCAGGCTGAGCAACCCAAGCACTTGGCAATGCAACATCACTGGCTTACGTGCAGGAATGTGTCGGTTTATCCGCGCGCCGATGGGATTCTTTTGAGCATGTCTGCAAGTTTTGGACTTCCCTGGTGTAGGCTTGTCCTCGCGCCGCCCTCAGAAGTAGGGAAGGTGCTTTCGGGCTGCTTGTATCCACAGCCTCCACCTTCATTGTACTGGCGAGGGACAGTGTGCCTGGAGGTTCCAAGTTGTCGCCGAATGTTCCTGGCAGCAACGCACGGATTCGATTGCGCGGCGTGCTCCTGGGATTGAAGCCAAGTGGGATATTCACAGAACTATTTCCACATGCACGGGCAATCTTTTGCTTACTGCAGTTCAGACTGTGGTTGCGTGTTCGAACCAGCGGGCTGTCTACCTCTGGAAACATAGGGCAGGAGATCTGCAGGCTGAGCAACCCAAGCACTTGGCAATGCAACATCACTGGCTTACGTGCAGCAACGCTGCAAGTCACGAAGCGGCGCCTTGGACAAAGCCAGGCGTGGCGGCCAAAGACAGCGTCGCTCGACGCTACATGCCTCATGCAAGGCTGTCATAATCTTGCATGCAACAGCTGCTGTAAACCTAGACTGACAAAGGACCGTGATACTTGCAACAGCTGGCAGCAGCGGACGTCAGGAATGCAGCTGGCGCATGCATGGCAGCTGCACAATAGCAGTCGTCGACACTGCCGTCGTGCAGCGCCGCATCTCGGCACAAGTATGTACCGGAAGCCCAGCAGCAGGCGCGACTTTCACTTTCCAGCCGCATGTCTGCAGAATCAAATCACACAGCTACGGTCGCCAGGATTGCACAGCAGCGTGTGGCAAGGCAGGAACCTCGGTCAACATCAGCGCTGTGGCGAAGTGGCTTGACGCGTGGCTGAGGCAGTGCGCTGTGCTGCAGCGCCGGCAGTGTGCTGAGTTTCTCAATGTACCGTGTTGCTCAATGCGCCGCAAAGCCCCGCAGCACTGATCTCGCTTGGCCTGGCCAGCTGTTGGCAAACAATCAACATTACGCTACGTGCCTGTGCTGGTCTGGCAACCCTCTGGAGGGGCAGCATGGGCCGAAGTAAACCTCAAGTGCTCGGCAGCAAGCTGGACTGCATCTCCTGTCCGGCCTGGTACAGTCTCATGGGATATTCACAGAACTATTTCCACATGCACGGGCAATCTTTTGCTTACTACAGTTCAGACTGTGGGCTGCGTTTTCGAACCAAGAAAACATAGGGCAGGAGATCTGCAGGCTGAGCAACCCAAGCACTTGGCAATGCAACATCACTGGCTTACGTGCAGGAATGTGTCGGTTTATCCGCGCGCCGATGGGATTCTTTTGAGCATGTCTGCAAGTTTTGGACTTCCCTGGTGTAGGCTTGTCCTCGCGCCGCCCTCAGAAGTAGGGAAGGTGCTTTCGGGCTGCTTGTATCCACAGCCTCCACCTTCATTGTACTGGCGAGGGACAGAGTGCCTGGAGGTTCCAAGTTGTCGCCGAATGTTCCTGGCAGCAACGCACGGATTCGATTGCGCGGCGTGCTCCTGGGATTGAAGCCAAGTGGGATATTCACAGAACTATTTCCACATGCACGGGCAATCTTTTGCTTGCTGCAGTTCAGACTGTGGGCTGCGTTTTCGAACCAAGGAAACATAGGGCAGGAGATCTGCAGGCTGAGCAACCCACAACATCACTGGCTTACATGCAGGAATGTGTCGGTTTATCCACGCGCCGATGGGATTCTTTTGAGCATGTCTGCAAGTTTTGGACTTCCCTTGTGTAGGCTTGCCCTCGCGCCGCCCTCAGAAGTAGGGAAGGTGCTTTCGGGCTGCTCGCATCCACAGCCTACACCTCAATTGTACTGGCGAGGGACAGAGTACCTGGAGGTTCTCGCCGAATGTTCCTGGCAGCAACGCACGGATTCGATTGCACGGCTCCTCGTGGGATTGAAGCCAAGTGGGATATTCACAGAACTCTTTCCACATGCACGGGCAATCTTTTGCTTACTGCAGTTCAGACTGTGGGCTGCGATTTCGAACCAGTGGGCTGACTACCTCTACCTCTGAAAACATAAGGCAGGAGATCTGCTGGCTGAGCAACCCAAGCACTTGGCAATGCAACACTGGCTTACGTGCAGGAACGCTGCAAGTCACAAAGCGGCGGCTTGGGACAAAGCTAGGCATTGTGGCCAAAGACAGCGTCAGGCTGCAAAAATCTTGCATGCAACCATTGCTGTAACTCAAAACCCAAAAGCCTAAACCCCAAACCCTATATCGACGGCAGTGGAAGCCTTCAAAGAGTACAATAAATTGAAAACGTATGTCTGAACAGGCTCTGATGCTGGAACGCATGGGATCTTGTGGGTGGGGTCTGCAAGGCATTCAGGGGCCGCTGACCCAACCTTGCGGTGATCTTGCGCAGAGAATCCTCTCCCTTCCTACACCTACTAGCGGCTACCCCAGACCTGGGGTCCACTGTTTTCAGGATACTTGGAAGGCGTGTTAAGGCACAAGTGTGAAAAGGCACAACACCGCCTTACACGCCGAATTATGAGAAGGCACTCCATGTGACAAAAGGAACAACACTGAATGTCAAACCCCAAGTGCACGCAGGTTCGAGGCAAGCAGTCAGGAATGCCAAGTCTTGTGCTTGTGCTTGCTTGCATGTGCCCGTGGCCTGGGCAACGGAAGTCCCGCCAACGCGTGTGGGTGGGAACTTTCAACCTTGCGGTGATCTTGCGCAGAGCGAATCCAATGTCATATAACATGTCGCTTGCAGGGTCAGGCTTTCAGGACTTAATCCCAGCGTGTGGCAGAGAAAAAGTCCCGCCGTTTGTCCGAGTGCAATGATTCTCCAGGGCTCAAGCCCGAAGATCTTCATCTCTGCAATGGGGTCAGGCCCCGGACTTGATCCAGATAAATTCCTTGGGCCTGACCTTCGCGCCTCAGACGTGTGTGGGGCTTGTCTTGGGATTGGATGGGAGACTCGCGGAAGCGCAAAAAGACAAATTAAATGGTCAAAAACCAGAAGTACCCTCCTAAGCTTTGATTCAAGGCGCCAGGATCCTCGTTCATCCTGTTTAGCTGAGGTCTCCCTCTGTTCTGACACGCAAAGCTTGATAGCTTTAGGCTTTCGCAACTGACGCAGCACCAAGATTCTTGCTACCAAGAGCGGCCCAGTCATGTGAGTGTGAGTGGTGCTTTATGTTCCAGGCCCTATGGCACTTCGGACTTGGAGGGCATCTTGATCTCACGACGAGCTGTCTCTGCGGCCCACTTGTTGCTAGAAGCTGGCAGCTCCCCGCCAGCAGATGCCATGCAACTTGAAAGACTGCGCCACCGGATCTGTCTGAGCATTTCCCTCTCGAGGTGCCGCTCGGCTTCGAATGTCCGCACCATCTCGAACACCATTAGGGAACCCTTACCCCTAAGACCCCCATGCCCTGAAACCCAGATGACCAAGGATCCTGGTGGTCCCCTGGTTCGCAGATCAGGTATCGCCTTGTCCAATGTAGGGCTTGAAGGTTTAAGATTGAGGGTTTAGGTTTTTTCGGGCTTAGCATTTAGGGTTACCGTGGGTCGGGTCTTAGGGGCATTGCTGGGGGATTCGCCTGGCCTTCAACCAGCTTCGAGGGGGTTTGGTCTGAACTCAATTTCTTTCCATCTGTTGCAACATCGAGGTACTCCATGGAGGCTGGCAGGGTTTAGGTAACCCTAAACCCTGAACCCTAAACCCTTAACAGCCTATATAGTGCCTGGCGCAAGTTTAGGGCACGGCCCGGCGATCACGGCTCGGCGCCAAATTTGACCCGGAAGCACAAAAGCATTGCAGCAGTTTGCGCTCGCTCGATCGCAGCGGATGCCCGAGAGTAAGAGAAAGATCGGTGTTCGCAATCAGCGCTCTGACTGGCCTTGAAGACATTCTTCCGCCTGCACAGTGTCTCTCACTAGAGCAATGTCCCCCCCATTACGTACCGGGGGCGGGGGGCCGGGGGGAAGCATTTTATACAGAGGGTGGACATGCATGGAGAAGTCGCGACTTGCATAGATGTGAACTGCTGGAGCTCACTGCCGGACTTCTTTTTGCCAGCTCTTGTCTGCAAATTTGCGGCGAGGAGGGCATAGCTGTTGACCCACACACGCAGTGTGTAAGGGGACTCCCTCGCGGTAAAGGGTTTTGGCTGCGCACTCTTCCTAGTAGGCTGGAAAAATGAGGTAAGACTTCAAACCTCATGCTTAAATCTTCATCCTGAGACTCTAAACCTTCACCTTAACCCCCAAACGTCGGTCCCCGAACCCTTCGTCCGTCCAGTGGCCATACGCATCCAAGGGATCGCAGCCCGGGCTTCTGGAGGGTTTCCATTCTCTGGGGTCCTTGGGAATGCTCCGGAGCGGAGATCTCGGCTCCCTTGTTCGCGCTTCCCCGGAAAGTTAGAGGGGCTGTTCCCCTTCTCATGTAGCTGACGGCCACTTCAAAGAGGAAGCAAGGTTCCACCTATTTGGCCTTCAGAGCCCCCTCTGTACGTGAGGGGGGGACGTTCGGACCTGCAACATTGCAGATTCAACGCCCCCCACCCCTCTGCCCCAGCAGACAGTAGTTCTGGAGCATGTCCGGCAAGCGCTGCATAGTCCAAGCTCCAGTTGTGTGCGTGCGACCTACCCGAGAAGGCAGCATGACAGGTATCCAGTCGGAGGCAAGATTAGGACTGGGGTGAC